AATAGTTACAAAATACACAACACCACTAAGAATGAATGAGTAAAAATATGAAACTATCCTTGCATATCAGAGTGGGATATATATATCTGTCATACAATATGCATGGCATGGATACTAAAAAAATTTGGTCAGTATACATGTCATGATCCAGGAAAAAAAATATAATGATCCAGGAAAAAAAATAATAATCACATCATCCAGCTTGACACGGGATTCAGGGGAAGTTGATTAGTGATGATAAGTAAGAAGCTCAAAGGCACTAAAAAAATATGCATGGCATAGACACTAATAAATATGGTTAACATGCATACATGTACAATAAAGAACAAAATCAACCATTTGTCACAAAGTAAATATATATATATATATATATATATATATATATATATATATATTTCACATGATCCAAAGAAAAAAAATATCACACGATGCAGAGAAAAAAATTATCACATGATGCAAAGAAAAAAAAAATCAAGTGATATGACTAATAGTGTGTGTAGATATTGTAGATAATTAAGTGATGTGACTAATTAGTGTATTAATTAAGAAAGCTAAGATAGGGAAGCAAGTGTCATCATATGTGATGTTTGGTTATTAATATCATGGCCACTTTGAAAAAGTCTTTTCCATGTGTAGGTGCAGTGAAGAAATAATGGGTTGTCTATGATTTGTCCATTTTTGTACCTCAAGAGAAGAGAAGTGTATTGATGCCATTACAATATATGCTGGTTGTTGTATCATTTGTACTGTCATATGCTATATTATAGCTTTCATGAGTGTAATGACCCGGATTTTCACGGATATTTTTTTTTCCGTTGTCTTTCCTTTCTGAGTTCAGTTCCTCTTCGCTTAGTGTCGTCTCGAGTGCTCTGGAGTGATTTCCGAGACTCTTTTCTGTGGATTGACAACTTCCTTTGAGGACCGAGTCGTTTCCACATTTTTCATTTTTCGACACTATTCACTTTTCATCATTTTCCCTATTTCGTCCTTTTTCCTATTTTGTCTTTTCCCCATTTGACACTTCGTTAGCGTAACCACACTTCTTATGTTTGGAGTTGGTTTTTGACTTCATGTATCTCCATCTTGAGTGGTTTCCATGAAATACGTATCTTTACTTTCGCAAGAAAGTACTCTGGTTGTTCCCGGTGTCCATAAGGGCATGGATGCAAAGTTCTTTAAAATTATTTTCTTTTCTTGGGGTGTTTTTCGTAAATATCTTTTGAAGATATTTTATTTCAGGGGTTTTTAAGAAAATATTTTTGGAAGATATTTTCATTCTTGGCCATAAGTGCAGTTTTCACTTTTTAGAGGGGCCATTGTGCAATTAATGAAAGTTATTGCAAAATGTCTTATTTTGAGCCTAGATCCTCGTACGGGATTCATTTTCACATTTCGTCGAGTTGTGTACTCTTGGAATTTTCTCCTGGTCGATATTTTCCAGTTTCAGGGTTTCTGACCCTAGTTTGTGCCAAACTTGTTTTGGGCATAACTTTCTGCTCGGGACTCGGTTTTTGACGCCGTTTCTTCCGTTATTCATATTTTATCATTTTGAATCTTTTTTGTTCACAAAGTTTTACCATTTGAGCACGTCTGCTCAAATTTTACTTTTTTAGACCCGGCGGGGCCCGTTCGGGGCACTTTTTGAGATTTCTATAAAAGGGGGGTGAGATATTTCATTTTTCATCTTCTCCCCTCTTCATGCACGACCTGGAGCTCCCATGGCAGCCCAAGGGGTGCTGCCACCTTCTCTCTCCTCTTTTGAGCTTCATTCCTTCGTCAGAATATAGAAGGGCCTTTGCATTTAGTGTTCGTGTTGACTATACGCTTCTTTCACCCTTATTAGAACCCATTTATGACCATTCTTTGAGTTTTGGTTTGAATTCAAGTTGTGATTTTGATGGGGCTTCCTTGGGGGTTATGTGCATGGTGTAGTTCCCGACAAAACCTAGAAGTTTCGTCGGATTCGGAGCGGTTTCCATTTGGTGGCTTTTGAGATTTTCATCTCAAATTGAGATAGGAAATGCTTTAGGATTTTATATGTGTTGTATTGAGTATTTCTCATGATTATACAACTTATATGTATGCCTTGTATCAAATTTAAAAAGTTAGTAATTTTTATTTCTTTGTATAAGATTTAAAATTCATGATGATATATAACTTTGATTTGAATTGTGGCATGCTAGAAAATCATGTTTTAATATGTTTGTTAACATATATTAAATTGGTATGGATTGAATAAAAATTGCATATTTTATTTAATATTTATCTTTTGTGAAAGATTAAACCCCATGGCCGTACCTTGCATGAAATTGACTTGTGATATGCTTTTAAATTATGTCTTGGCATGTTGTTTAACATACTTTAATTTGAGAGTATTTGGAGAAGTATGAAAATTTAGAGATTTTAATTAAAATGATTAATTAAAATCTAATTAAGGGTTCCATTGGCCTAATTAAGTGTTTAACTTGATATTGTGATAACTATGACTTATGTTCGAGCATATGTTAATTTGGAACCATTTGAAGTTGTTTTAGAAGTTAGGGATTTGATTATCATGATTTAATTAAATTTCACTTTATTGTTCTTATGGCCTAATCGAGTTTTGATGTGGTGTATGTAATGACCATACTATATTGTTTATCATGTATTAATTGGAGGCCATTTGATTGAGATTTGAAACCTAGGGAATTTAATTAGTTTATTGATTAAATTCTATTTCTATTGTATTATTGATTAACTCATGTATTTGACATTGATAGTATGTTTAAAGCATGACTTTTGACTTATAATGGATTTATAAGTTATGTTTCAATATTGGATTATATTGTTATAGCGCGTAACGAATCGCGCTCTGAAGATTCGACATGTGATGTTATTATAGCACGTAACGAATCGCACTCTGAAGATTCAACATTGTCATCCTATAGTTGTTGTGGATTTAGAGCATGTGTTGTGTGGTTACAACCTACTTGTGCATGAAGGTAGTTTCGTATACTGTTTAATACGTATATAAGTTGTTAACTTATTTATTTTGGAGTCTTGGGATATTGTTACTATGATATGGCTAAAGTTTGGCTTTAGTGCGGGAGGTATGAGTTTTCTCCAATTGAGATAGTGCACACTAGGGTGGTCTTCCCAGCGGGTTAATGCCCGGAATAACCAATTTGTTCTTGGTTTAGTTCGAGACGTGATGTCCAAGTCTTCCACTATTTGTTTTCGCATTCAATTCCAAGTTTGCAATCATGTTTATATTGTGACTTGTGGTTTTGGCTATCGGCGATTTGATGTTGTTAAGTACATCTATACTAAATTGTTATATTTAGTTGATTTCACACTTTTAGATTTCTAGTTGATAATTAGAGAATCTATGTCTTGATGTGTGGTATTAGATATTCTAATTATGCTAAATTGTTATATTTAGTTGATGTTACATTTTAGACTTCAAGTTGATAACCTTGAGAACTACTATGTTGTTGCTTTGTGTAAACATGACCCTATGTTGTTAAAATTGCATTAATGAGGTGATTGATGCTAGAAATGATCTTAGGTAGCTAGGATACTCCCTGAGTATCACCTTGACATAGACGTTAGGTGAAATGAACCACAATAATTAAATCATGCATCTCGTAAAACTTTAAGTCGATGCATGCTCATTTCCTATGAGTAGCTTTATGTTACTCACCCCTACGATACTGGGGCATATTTCAAGTACAGGATACAAGATTGGAGATTGCAATTGCTTGGGTGATTTGCTGAGTTGAGCTTCTTTAGAAGTATTCTTGTTCACATGCAAGTGTTAGCATGTTCATGATTTGTCTATGAAATGTAATTTTTCTAACTTCGAGGTTTGACATGTCAAATGTTGTAAATGTATTGTAATGAGGCCATAGGCCATTGTAGAACATCTATTTTATCATATTACATACACTTGCATACTCACTTTGGCAAACAATACATTCCTTGATGAAATAAAAACCTAAAGTTGCATTTTTTTTTTGCTTGACCCTATTCTGTTACAGGGGCATTTTGGGTATTTCAAAATGATTTTTTTTCATTTTTCCTTGCGAGCCACGTAAAAAACTTGATTTTAAGGTGGGTTTATTTTTTGTGTTTTTCCAAAAAACATCATCTTGGCCCTCAAAAATTCATTTATTTCCAGAAAATCTGTGCTGCCAGGTTTTGCAAATTTTTAGTACAAATGTAGTTGGTACTATTCATCGACTTTTTTTTTTTGAAAATCGTCACGACCGATCTGAAACTTCCGGAAGTCTTGTGGGTGTATTTTAAGATTGCATTTTCAATTTAGGCAATTTAAAAACCTCTCGAAGCCCTATTTCCAAAACTTGGGCAGTAGCTCGGATTGGTTTTTTTTCTCTTGACCTGATTTTCTTGGGGGCATTCCTGGCAATTTACAATGCATTTTTTTTTATTTCTGTCTATAATCGGGGTAGAAAACTTGATTTTAGGAGGGGTTTATTCTTTGAGTTTTTCCAAAAAAGTCCGTTTAGATGCCCGTTTTTACTCTCAATTGCAGCAGTAGTTGGTTATCCTTGTCGGGCCGCTACGACATCATTTTTGTTTTTGATCTTTCTCATTCGTCCGGACTCTGAATGATGAAATTCTTGAGTCCATTATGATTAATTTTTTATTATCCTTCCAGCGGTGTGCTCGATAGCACTTGAATCCACTTTTTACAAAATGACCATTTTGCCCCTAGGTTCTTTTTGTCCGTTTTTGAAACGACACTTCTGCATTTGTTTCCTTTGGCTTCCGTGACCTCATTGAGGGTCACATTGGTGTCTTAGAGACGCATTGTATCTCTAGAGACCGTTGTTTTACCTTTCGCTTCTGCATTTCGGATCCATTATCGAGTCATCTTTTGGTCATCACTAACGCACCGGGTTTACAAAACTTGGGCCGTCACATGAGGGTCATGCTTTTGCAAGTTGTTGGTCAAGTACAACAACAAAGAAATTAGGGCATGTTTGGTCCAATTGCGGTTTTTTTTTTTTTTTTTTTTTTTTTAATTGTTCTTAGAAAATTGTCTATGAAACAATTTTTTGTAATGTTTTCTAATTTTCAATTTCTTGAAAACTAAGACTTAAAAAATCGAACTAGACAAGCCCATAAATTTTTTTTGGAGAGATTATAATGATGTATGTCAATTACTAAAGAGAAGCCACTATCCATATTAGTTTTGTTTAGGTGGAGTATTGGAAAGAATAGAAAAAATAAACAAATTTTATTTTTGACATTATTTTATTTTAAATTTTTTGGCAAGGATAAATATATGTATATTGATAAAAAAAAAAAAAGGAGGAAAAAATACAAGAGAAACTGTGGCAGCACTCACAAATGCACTACATAGCAGAGACATAACTTTCATCACATAAACTATAGATATAAATTTCCCATCCACACTTCCAAATTTCTATATGTTTTTTTTTAAAAAAAAAATTCAAATAAAAACAACATAACTTTCATCACATAAACTATAGATATAAATTTCCCATCCACACTTCCAAATTTCTATATGTTTTTTTTAAAAAAAAATTCAAATAAAAGCAACATTTACTGAAAAAAATCACATGATCCAGAAAAAAAATAATAATAATCATCACAGAAAAAAAATCTACTAGAGAGAAGTTGGATTGCAGTTGGAAGTCTGGAATCACAATCGCACACCAGAGAAAGAGAGCCCTAATAATAATTAAAAAGTAAATATGAGTATAACGACGAAGATAATTCACCTATGACCTAATAATCGGTGCTCTAAAGAAGCTGTAAAGAAGAAGATGAGAGGGGAAAAAAATAGCCGTAAATCGCCGGAGAAGAAGAGGAGAGAGAACATACCAGAGAGAAGTTGGATTACAGCTGGAAGTCCGGAATCGCAGTCTCAAGAACGCGAGGCGCCTCTCTTTTTGGACCTACTGAACTCGAATCGCAGTCACTGATGAATTCAAGCGGAAGGCGCCCCTCTTTAGGGTTTGTGGTCTCTTTCTCTCAAGAACACGAGACGGATGATGGGCGATGGGCTAGTGTTTGTGAAATGATGGAATGTGGTGTATTGTAAATGGGTGTCCAAAACAAAGAGATTATTGTTGATTGTTCTTTTTAGTCTTTTTGCAAATATTTATATTTTTATATATTTTATAAAATTGTTGACTAAGAATAGTTTAGTCAAATTTGGTTTTAAATATGTTAGAGGTAAATATAAGGGGTGGTTTTTTTTTGCACGCGACCTTTTATCCATTTATGTCATTGCATTCTACAGTCGCACACCTCCCGTGTGCGTGTGTATTTCTCCATGTTTTTTTATTGTTACTCTCTTTTACCCCCAACCTGTTCAAACCCTAAAATTCCCTTTGCCCAAGAAACCTTTAAATTGATTTTGAAAATCGAAACCCTTTATCTCGAAGAACAAACCCTAATTTCTGAAATTGGCTGTTCGTCGGAACTCAAGAATTATTGGTTAGATGCAACTCCGATGAAGCGAAACCACCAGTCCGAATGCGGTGGTTGTGGCTGCGAAGAGCCGGTGTTCCTCTTCCACATCCGCCACAGAGGCATCTACCGTCGTCTCTGCACCGCCTGCGTTCTCAAGAACCACTCCGGCTCCTTCTGTCCTATCTGCTTCGAGGTCTACGACGAACCTCCTCCTCCTCGCCAGCGTCTCATGTGCCTCAATTGCCCTTCCATCACGCACCTCTCCTGCTCCGCCTCCTCCACCTCCACCTCCGCCTCCACCTCTACCTCCGACGGCGTCTCCCGTGCCTACCAATGCCCTCCCTGTGCAAACCCTAACTACACTTTCTTCAACCTCAGCTCATCCAAGATCAAGACTGAAGGCAATACCAATGATGGAGAATCTGTTAGAACAGAGAGTGGCAGAGCTATCGATAAGGATTCGGCGAAGCAATTACTGGCTGCTGCAACAATTTCATTGAAGTCAATGAATAATGCAGCGTCCGTTGCCAGAGTTGAAGCCGAGAAGAGGAGTAGGGAAGCTGCGGTGGCGAGGAAGAGAGCGAGAGAATCCCTGGAGCCAGTGGCGTATCTGGCGACGAAGGAGGAGAGAGGGAAAATGGATTCGAGATCAACTGCAGAGCAGCCGAAGGTGAAATTGGAATTTGATAGTTCTGTTTCGCCGCCAAAACGGGTTGAAGATCAAATTGGGGCTGATAGGTTTCAGAAAGATGGCATTGTTTCAGAGCCTCCTAAAAGTGGTGTACATGTGGGTGGACAGATTCATAGAGTAGAAGAAGGAGCTAAGGAAAGCAATGGGGTACATTCAGCTCATCCTGATGTAGAACACTCAACATCGGATTCGAAGCAATCATTGTAGCAATTAAGGAGTTTCACTGCTGCAAGTGCAACTACGGGATATGAGAAGGAAGCTTCTGTGAATTTGTGAGTAGTTACTCCTCATTGTATTCTCTGTTCAATCGTGTAGAAATGTTTTGTAATAGATTAGTGTGTAGTCAAGCTTTCAACTTTAGTGATGTTCATCCGAGTGTACTTTATGTAGTCAATTCTATTTTCTTTATACTCTTTTTCCATCCATTCAATAACTTTAGGGGATTCAAAAAAAATATATCTATATATATATATATATATATATATATATGTATATTTTTACCCCAAATGGTAAGTTTGCAATTATGTGACTAAGAACACAAATAACATCATTTTTTTTTTCCTGAATAAATGACGTCATTTTTCAGTAAAATCATCTTTTTCATGTGCTGGTATACTTAATTTGCTTATATGTCTGTTGTGTTTCTTTTGTTGTTTGTTTCATTTTAAAGGGAGTGATTCTGTTGAGATTACCTTATAAGATTTTGATTTTATTAGGTAATTGCCCGATGAAGACTTTAACAGTGGTATAATTATAGTTGCAACATTTCATGCTACTGTCCCCAAGTTTTGTACGGAGCACACTAAACAAATTATTATTGATGTCTTTCCAAATTAATCATGAACTTTGTGGATAATGCATGAATAATAGATCTTGAATGGGTGTAAACAACTTTGGGATGTGATGCATTAATTTTCAAATAATTAATGTCATCTGAAATGTGCTTGACTGTGTAATATTTCTTGCAGTTAACAGTTTGCCACTTTGAAATATTTACTGTTATGATTCTTGTTAGGGTTTGAAAAGACTATAGACATGTCATTGAGAAAAACATGTACTAGAGTGAAAATATAATCTTCTCGCGTTCTGACAAGATAAACGCAAAGGTTGTACTCTAAACCTAACCTTTGAACTTGTTTTTTACTAATCTTACCTATTTTCTTTATTCCTCTGTAGGATTATATATATATATATATATATATATATATATATATATATTGTACCCAATGTTCCAGTTATAAGGGTTTGTGAGGATTATAAATTATTGTTGCTAGTTGGTTGACTTGCTATATCTTGCTACTTGGAGATAAGCAAACAATTTTTCCCCCTCTAAAGCATGTGATTGTGATTAAGTTTCAGAATATCGAACAGTTAATGTGGCATTCCAAATGGAAATATTCTGGAACACAAATTTATTTCTGTAATATTGGCTGTTTCTTGTCAAATGCCCTATTTTCTGTGAAAGAATATTTGGTCGGAGGTGTTAAATGGCTGTTACTTAGTTCCTCGGATCATCTGACTAGAATGGTGATTATCCATGTTACTAAGCTCCTTTAACTCTTGCTTTTATATGCGCTGTTGGTTTTGCTTTTCTTTTATAACTGTTATCGTCTTCTGGGTTTGGGAGCTATGTGATGGATTCTGTTTACTCTAGACTGAATGACATGGTTGAGTTATGAGACAACTTGGTATGCTGCATGCACGTTAGATTGTTTGCTAATTTGTGTGCCATTTCACTGGAATTCTCTATTTGTGATGTTTTAATGGCCAAAAGTAATTATTTATTTATTTTTTTTGCTTGAATGGGTTCTGTCTGGCATCTTGATGTTGGGAATTCCTTATACGTACGTAAATGGCTTTTGTCTGCATAACTGAAGGAGGATGATAGGAGTTGTGTTGCAGCAAGATGATCAGTCGTAGAGTGCTGGAGAGAAGAGAAACCGGTAAAAACCTTCTGTGGGAGGAGGTTTTTGTTATGAGTAGGAGCTCTTCGTGTGAGAGTACTTGAGAGTTAGGTTATGGATAACTTATGTTGGCTTTTGCTCCTTCAGTTGAAACCTAGGGGTCTTACTCATTGCTCATTGCTCATTGCTCATTGCTCATTGCTCAGTGAAATAGTAAAATCTAGAACTAGTGAGCATACCAATGTGGGTTTGAGAATGAAAGGAAGCTTTGTTAAATATAGCAAACATGAGATTTGTATCATCATCCTCTTAAGTCTCATTGACGCTGGAAGGTTATTTCTGATACATAACTTGATGCTGGAGGGGGTAGGACAGTTAGAAGAACGAGGGAGGAGAAGAAATTTCTGTAATCAATTTTAATATTCAATAATCATTAAAAACTAAAAATGTCTAATTCAATGTATTTGCCCTACATATATGTAGGACACATTAATACCCCTACGGGCCACATGAATTTTCTTTTTTCAATAGTTTCTATATAAACTATTTCTCCTATTAGATTTAACTTTTTTAAAATGAGTTGTGAGACAAAGTAAAAGTAAGTCATTTAAAACCAAAATATAAGATGCTTTCTAAAACAAAATTCTCCAAAAATAAATTAACAAAAATAACTCTCTTTATTTATGGAAAAGAAAATAAAATTAAGTCTCAAAGAAAGTAACAATTGAAAATTTAGGGAAACAATAACTAAGAAAGAAAACACAAATAAATTAATAAAATAAAAATTTAGGTTCTTCAGTCATTGATTTTTGTTAATATTTAAAACTTCAAATGAAAATTCCGTTCTAGATTTTGTAGAAATTAATATTGTCTTATAGAAGCATTCCAATAAGCATACCATTTTGAGAAAATTAATATTGTCTTATAAAAGAATTTATGGAAAGAGTTTGTTTTTCTATTATTTTAATATAAAAAGAAAAAAAAAAAAGAGATCGAAAGAATCCGGTATGAGATGAAATTTTAGAATAATCAGGTTATAAAAATAATGGTGCTGGAGTTGGAAGGATTCACACTAAAAAGAGAATTGAGTAAAAAATTTAAGATAATCACGGTAGCTGATTTTTATTAGGTGTTCTATATTAATCAATTATATAATTTTTATTTAAAAATTATTTTTTATCACTTCATTATATGGTAGTTTTGGTACGCGCCTTTTCGTACCTTAAATGCAAATCGATCTTTTTATACCACATACTAAATTAAAACATCACCAATATAATTATGGTTTCTCTTTTTAGAAAAGTGGAGGCAAAGTAGGTGTAGGCAGAGAGTGTTGGTAACTTCCTTGCACTTTTACACTTTCTACCAACAACAACACTAGCATTTTTCTTTCCTTACAATTCAAAATACCCTAAATCACCCTCATTTTAGTCCCCTGATTTTGGGGTCTCTTTTTGTTTTTCATTTTTCTTTTACTTTTGAGGCATGATTTTATAAAGTTTTTGTTTTTTTTGGTATCTTAGTGACATTAAATTGTAAAGTTCATTACTTAATTTTAATCCCCTAAATACCACCCAAAAATAGGGACTCAAAAGGTTATTTAGTTACGAGGAAAGAAGAAAATTGGATGGAAGAGAGAAAATAAGAGATGAATGAAATGTCCGTAGGGACGATATTGTGTCATTCCCTTAGGGCTAGTTTGGTGTGGTGAAATAGAATAAAAGAAAGTGGAATGGAATGGTTTTTTTTTTCATCCTCGTGTTTGGTGTTAATTTTAAAGTTGGAATCATCATTCCCCACTTTTGTTAGAGAATGCCCATTTTATCAAAATCATTTCACTTTTAAACAAAATAAATGACCATTCCCACCTCTATTCTCATTCAATTCCAATTCATTCCACCACACCAAACTAGTCCTAAGAGCTAATTATAAGGAAAATTTTATAATTTAAAAATATTTATAGGAGTCTTGCCTTTCTTCCTTCGTGTCTTCCCTCTATATTTGAAGGGATGAAAATTTGTAAACGAATAAAGATGATCCATCCATCCATCATTTTTTCTCTTATCTTCTTGTCTTATTTCTATCAAATCAAAAAAACATCTATTTCTTTCTTCTTATTTTTCTTTCACCCACTACCCTTGTTCCTTCCTTCTTACCAAACGAAGGCCATGTTCTGATGATAGTTTCTTACATTAGAAAGTAGAAGGTGGTTTGAGTTAGACTCGGCTTTTGATATTATCCCACAAAGCAATTGATGAAATTGTAAATCATGCTTTACGAACAAATAAAGACCAACATTTTGATGGTATTATAGAAAGCGATTGATTTTGATATTATATACAAAGTGGGTGATTAGGTTGTAAATTATTATGCTTCATGAAGAGCATAAATTAAGATTTTCAGGCATATCATTACACAAAGTCATTGCTTTGAAGATCAACTTTGACAAATTAATAATGTAACTAGTTCTATCAAAGATGTGGATTGACATTAGTTGAAATATTGCAAGGCGCATTAATGATGTGAAAGAATTGACTAATTGAATTATATATAACATTTATAAATTAATTGAGTAATTTTTTGTGTTTACATTATTTGGCATGAATGTAATTGGCTCAATAGTTTAGTGAATTATCACGTACATCTACTAATATAACATGTAACACTTTTTATCTTGAAATATATTATTATTATTATTATTGCTAATTGACTAGTTGAATTACTTATAACTTTATCTTTTTTTCTCATTAATAATTATAATTTTATCAATTTTACCAATTGTGTCTAGCCAATAGATAATCCCATCACCAAAGAAGTTAATGATGATATTTCTTTGTAATATATTAAAATATTCTGCACTGAAGTAAAAAGTGTGTTCATACTTATTTTTTTTCTGGAAAAAGAGTGATCACCAAAGGCCTGTTTAGAAACCCACAATTGCTTTGTGCATTTGCCTTAACTAGAAATTGAAACAGAAAGGATTTTCAATACTATTCGGAAGGATGTTTGGTATATGTATTTGTTGCAAGATTTTTTGAAGTAAAACTATAAAAACATGTTTGGTAAAATAAAAAATGTTACAAGTTTAAAAAACAAAATGGCTAATAAAAAAATGTCATTTTAGAGTTATTTTATTTATTTTTTCTCGAGTATTTTGGTATAGTGCGGAAGCAACTTAGAGAACCAAAGCATCAATTTGGCACTTCCGGTTTTGGCTTCTATTTTGGAAACATTTCGATACTATTCAAATCACAACAAACATGCCAAACACAGTTTTTGTTTCGTTACAATATAATATTGGAAACAAAAAATACAAAGTAAAAGTTATTTTGTAGGCGTTAAAGAAGCGAGATCATAAAATACATTTAACTGAAATTATTAGTTTTTAGGACTAGATTCTTAAGTTAAATATTGTGAATTTTTCTTATTTTAAAACAGTACGATTTTTAAATTTTAGTAAAATTTCTTTACTTTCAAAACAGATTTTAACACAAGTAATAGATAACTTTTAAATGTCGTGCGTTAATTTGGGATAATTTAAAAGATATTTAACCTTTTTTTTTTTTAGCCTGACATTCCCATAATCTACCGGAAGCATTAACCACTAGGCTATCGAGACATTTGCAAAAAAAAATATTTAACTTAGAAAATCTAAATCAATTTATATTGGGAGAGAATTAAAAGAAAACTTTTTAAAGTACAATCTATCAAATTTTATTTATTTGATTTTCCCAAGTTAATGGATAAGAGTTGAAGTCTAAAAAAACACATTAAAATTAAATGAAAATCAATGGGTGTAAAGCAAACGCGCCAAGAAATTGCTAGCATGTCCACTGTGGTCGACAGCGCATTACACCTCATCAACCCAATCCCAGGTTCCCATCATTATTTTACAATCCAAACATTATTTCTCGTCAATATATCATCTCGTCTTCTCTCACCACCCATCCATATTGGGGGTTTTCATTGGATCGAAGGTAAAAATTATTTTTCTATTGTACAATACTTTTAGGACTCATACCTACTTGTTCTTGTTGTCGATGTGATCCAATTATCAAAATGCATACATAATTTACATTTATAAAATTAAAAAAATAATAAATAAAAAGATTATTATTTTTATTTATCACTTTTCTAATTTTATAGTTACATATTATTTATGCATTTATAATTGACCCGCATCAATATGGATGACTAAACCATATAAATAGGAATGGTCTACTCACATGTGAATATGTAAACTATTTTATTATTTTTCTGATTTTGTAATTGAACTATTTGTGCATTTATAATTGGACTACACCAACAAGGATGACCTACTCAGAATTACATATTAATAGAAAGAAAAATGATAAGTCTTCCGACATTAATTATCAACTCGTTCTCCGAATACAACGTAGTTGGATTCTATTAGAACGCTTAAAAAAATTCCCCGTAAATATTTATTTCTCTTTAACCCATTCCCAATCACGTTATATTCGGCAGAATAATCGACAATTAAAATCTTATGATCTACTCAAATATAAGTTTTGTCTCGTACTTTACTAAGTTATAAGAACACAATTGGGAGATAATTTTTCATTTGCTAGCTACTGGACAGCTCTATTTGTTTGGCTTGTTTAGTTAAAAACTCATCACAAGAAAAACCTATTGACAAACTTTATTTATTTACAAGTCAAACAAATATAAAATAACTTTGACTTGAGCCAATTTTTTTATTTGCAATTCTTAACAATATATAATTTTTTAAATTTGCAGCTCTCTTGATACATTCAATATTTTTTGTCTAAAAATCTCTAATTCTTAGTATCATCACTTTTGTGATCATCTATTATGGTATAATTTTATACATCTTAATTCAAACAAAAATAATTTTTTACAAGTTTTTTGTTTAAACGATAATAATATCTGAGCTCTTAAAATATTTTATAATTCATGGCCGAACACATAAGTAAAATTTTCTGTAAAGTCTTTAGGTATTCAGGATAAAAAAAAAAAAAAAAAAAAAAAAAAAAGCCCAATAATAAGGAGGATAACTGTTATTAGCGCGAGATATTGCCAAACATGGAATTAGGTATTAGTGGTTGCAAGGCTCACATTAGACAAAGCCACGACAGACTTTTTATATTTTTTCATAAATTTATTATTTATATTTTATTCATTCTGAATCATAAGAAAATTACAAAACTATTATATTTTTTAAAAAGTGTTATATCAAAGTAATAACACAGACAGGGCTGCCTGTATCATAATCATTTTTTTATTCTTTATTTACCAACAAAAAAAAACAACGATTCTCTCTCCTCTCTCACTCTTCCACGCTTTTCTCTTTCGTTCTAAGAACCCTAAAACGTCTGAAATTCCTTCTTTTTCTCTCTCTGTTTTTTTTTCTTTTCAAATTCAAATTGACACAATTACACACATTGTTGAAGATTTTGTGGAGTTGGTGATCGAGTAGGGTTTTCTTTTTAGGGAATTGGAGTAGCCGGTGGGGATTTTGTTTCTGACCGGCGACGAGAGACAGAATGGCGAATACGGACTTGCAGATGACCCCTCAGTTGGAGCAGATCCACGGAGAAATTCGTGACAATTTCCGAGCTCTCGCGTATGTTTTTTTTTTCCCACTCTCTCTCTATATACACATGTCTATATATATATGTATGTGTGTTACATTTGAAGAACTATGTGTTCAGAAGGGAATTACCATATGATTATTGTCAATGTAAATTTTGCGATCTGATATTATTGTGCACATGTTAGGTAATGTAAGAGAAAGTCATAATTTTAATCTTAGATAGGCAACGAGGAAATGAAAATATTTAGTAAGACTTCTACATTATTTGGCATATCTGGGTTCAAATTTTCAATTTTTGGACCCTACTCTATTTTTCCTTTTCTCAGTTTCTTAGCAACGAAAGTATGTTAATTGTAGATAGTATATTCGGCTGGTTTCTCCTGTATATTTGTTTAAGTTAGTACGTCTTTTTCTTAAATTGGCACTTACTCAGAATCCAGTGGACATCTAAATTGTTCTTGGTACTAAATATATGAAACGTGTGAAGTTTATAGTTAATTTGACCAGTGTTTTCATGGGAGTTTTAACAGGTGAAAGTCTAATGTGAGATAATTTTTTGCACATATTTAATCCATTTTTATATACCTCATGTAGATTGGACTTGTTTGTCACACTCTTATCAATCAAGCTCTTAGAAGTTTCTAAAATTTTGATTTTCACTGAGGCAGAGCCACCTTTATACTGGAAAACCCATTTTCTGTCTTCCTCAATGGCATGCTTATGGTTGACAGTAGTTACTTTCTTTGAATCCAATGTAGTTATTCAATAAACACTAACTGTTATTATCCTTTCCTGGCTAACTTCTACATGATATCTGTACTAAGAAATAGCACATCATCACATCACTACTAGAAATTTTTGATTGATGCTGTTGGATTGTCATTTGACATTAATTAGCATTAAAATATTTTGCAAGCCTGAAAGAAGTATGGATGTTGCCAGGAGCTTTTTAAAAACAAGGATAACAATGCTTGAAATCTAGAATGCTTGGAACCTCGTTATTATTTTTATCTTTGAAATTTATAATGGATGCATAGTTATTAAAGGCTCAAGCCATGCTAAGGTATCAAAATACTTTAATAGTTAAAATGGCATGTATGTTAGAATTGTGCATGAATAAGATACCATGAATGAGCTTGTTGAGCCTGGGATTTTTTGAATATCTAGATATGCCTTAAACAAATACAAATTGATGTCTCTTTTGGGTAGTTGAACTTATCTATTATGGGTTTTAAATAATTAGTTGAGAAAGCAAAAAGATTAGGAAAATCACCGTCGGGATTTTGTTCGAGTGGGCTTCCTCACCACATTCCAAAGAAACTGTTGGGACAATTTGGATGAATGTGTGTTTTATCTATAAAAATAATATTAATAATAACAAGTGAAGATAGATACTTATAAAAAATTATAATAAGTGAAGAGAGATAATCTTTTTTTTTTTTTTTATAAATAAAATGTATTAGAAAGCATTCAAAAGGGGAATGCATCCCAAGAGATATACAAGGAACCAAGCCAAAATAAAGCCCTATTACATTTTAAAATGTGCAACACAATCCACTAAAAAATCTAATGAAATTTTGGCATATCAATTAAGAGGGTTTGCTAAATCAAATCTAACACATCATTTCATTGCTTATGTATTCAAGAAAATCAAATACCATGTAAATGTGCAAAATAGGAGCCTACAAGATATAGTTTTTAAAAAATATATCATATTATCATAAATATGTTTTTTTGATAAGTATATTATTATCAATATTTAGAATCAATTACTCTACACATGTAATATAATTATTCAACTATAAGCTCATGAATATTCAAATTCCAAATATCTCATATGATATAAGGTCTATATTGCATGTACTTGTGCACATGTTCGGGTGGGTATATGAATCTCACATAAGTATTTACTATCTTTCTGCTCATACTAAGTCTCTCGCAAAGTGACAATCTACTTTTATATTTTTAGTCCTATCATGAAACACCGGATTACTAGCAATGTACATAGTAGCTTGATTATCACAAATCATTCTCGTAGGCTTTCACTGGAAAGACATATCTCTTATGAAAGAGATATCTACCCACATCATTTTGCAAGTTGTATTAGCCATTGCTCTATACTCTGCGTCTGCACTCGATCTAGCCATGACATTTTGCTTCTTATTTCTTCATCATACCAAATTGTCTCCCACAAATGTGCAATTCGTAGATATAGATTATCTGTTTGGCTTCCTGCCCAATCACATATTTGAACCTAACAATATTCATGTTGATTGAGGATTAGAGAGAAGCCTTTACTAGGTTATCCTTTCAGGTATCTTAAAATACGACATACAACACCCAAATGAGGTAGTTTGGGTTGTTGCATAATTCGACTTACCCTACAACAAAGGTTTTGTCAAAGGCGCACCTAGGCTCCAGGATCATATAGATGTAACACTTGCACCTGTTGTGTCTGTAGGTGCACCTTTATTCACTCAATTATGCGCCTTGCACCTAAGGACCTCTAGCTCCTTAGTGCATCTTGGTCCTTTGATAACACTAGCTTCGTCACAACCAACTATATTAGTTTTTTGATAAGTCTTTGATATCTTCTTGGATCATCAAGAAGATTTTCTTCATCTAGACTATATACTTGAATTCATGGAAGCTCACTCAATTTTGCTCCTAACATTCCTGTCTCACTTAACAAATCACATACATACTTCCTTAGAGATTTGAAACCTTGATTCCCAAAAAGTATCTCAACCAACCCAAGTCTTTCATATAAAAATGCTTGCTAAAAAATTGTTTTAGGTCATCATTACCATTTTTATCGTTCCCTGTCACAACAATGTTGTCTGCATAAACTGTTAGGATGGTGATAATACTTTTACAATGTTTCACAAATACATAGTGATTTGATGTAGTTTTGGTTAATCCATATTTACTAACCATAAACTAAATTTGTCAAACCATGCCCTTGGAGACTGTTTTAACCTTGATATAGCTTTCTTTAACCGACACACTGGCTGTGACCCCCCGCCCCCCCACTAAAAGCAACAAATCTAGGTTGTTGCTACATGTATACTTTTATTGAAGATCTCCATGTAGGAAGGGTTTTGTAATATCTAGCTGGTAGAGAGACCAATTTTGAATAGCTGTAACCGATAAAAGAATACGAATAGAAGTAAGGCGAGTAGGAGGAGAAAAAGTTTCAAAACAATTAACCCCAAATGTCTTAGGATATCCTTTAGCTACCAAGTGAGATTTAGAACGTCAATTGTACCATCAGAATGATATCTGATGGCATACACCCATCGACAACCAACTGTTGAGGAATTAACTCCAGTGTATCATTTTGCTGAAGAGCTGTCATTTTCTCAACCATTACATGTTTCAGACAATCACGTGGAATATCATCCAAATCATATACAACATAGAGATGCTAATATCTTTCATTAGAATGCAGTGCTCGTCCAACTTCACCTTTGTTGCTGTTTTTGGTTAAGTGGCGGCCACCCATCTATATCATGATGCAGCATGGTGTGTCTGCTGCTCATATTGACAATGGCAAGTTACATAAATTATGAATCAGTGGATGCACATTTGTAGGCGTCAAGTTTTATGGATCAAATGTAAGACTTCCTTATCCTCTTGGTTTAAAGCAACACAAATATGTGAGATGGTATGTACGCTTTGGGTACTTGAAACCAAGGCCTTGGAATTACATCCGAGAGGCTTTACCACAAGCTTTGGATGGCATTTTTTGAAACAATATTGGTTTAGCTGAAGAAACATATTAAAGTAACTGGTGGAGTTTATGTCAATCATTTCATGCTGGTTAATGGTATGTGGAGCATTTTCATTTCACCAGAGGCAAGCAATTTTTTTTGATAAGTAAAAGTTTCAATAAAAGCGTTCAAAAGGGGAACACATCCCTCAAAAAACAACACAAGGCCAAATATGGCCTCTAAACCCTCAACAAATCCAAAAACTCTATAAGCTTATCCAACAATTTACAATTTCTTCCTAGAGCCCAACAATAAAGGGTGCTAAGGATGGAGAATTTCAACGACCCAACATGATTTTCCTTTCCTTCAAACGATCTCCTATTTCTTTCAAGCCATAGACACCACCATATACACAAACGAATAACGCTCCAAGAGTCACGAGCTTGGGCCCCCACTATGCATCATCTCCAGGCCTCAATCCAGCCTCTGGTAGACCGTGGCATAACCCAACGAACCCTAAACAAACCCACAAACAAAAGCCAACAATCTCGGGCCACTGAACAATGTGAAAGAAGATGATCAATCGCTTCCTTGCCATTTTTGCACATAAAACACCAATTCACCGCGATCTGTCTTCTTCTCTGAAGGTTGTCTTTAGTCAAGATCTTTCCTAGTACGGATGTCCATGCAAAAAATGCTACTTTGAGAGGCGCTTTTGTTCGCTAAACGACCCACTATGGAAAGGACAGTCCAGGAGCATCTGCAAAACAATGATAAAATGACCGAACAACAAAATGCCCAAGTGAAGATGGAGCCCAAACACATATGTCGGAAGTCTCCTCAACCATCTCTTGGTGATATAACATATCCAAAAAGTTCATAGCATCCTCCATCTTGTAATCCTGAAACAACTTCAAGAAGCGTACATCCCACTATCAAGGCGATAGCAGTCGACCATTATGGCATGTCTATCAGAAGCAATCCTAAAGAGTCTAGGGAAAGTGCTAGCAAGGGAATGCTCCCCGCACCATATGTCATCCCAAAAACGTATCCTCCTGCCATCTCTGACATGAAATCTGATGTGCTTAGAGAATTCGCCCCACATCTTCTGAATGTGTTTCCAAACCCCAACCCTATATGGCAATCTAACATCGGGGGTGTGCCACCCTTCTCTCGTCTCCCCATGTCTGCTCACAATCACCCTCCTCCATAGTCTGTTTTTCTCTATCCCAAATCTCCAAAGCCATTTACCCAATAAGGCCTTATTAAAAGGCACTAATCTTCTGATTCCCAACCCACCTTGCTGAATTGGAGTGCAAATCCTCTCCCACTGTACTAAATGATACTTGAACTCCTCCCCTTTACCACCCCACAGAAAATTCCTCTGCAACCTCTCGATCCTTTTAGCCATTGAAGAGGGAATCGGGAAGACTGAAAGAAAGTACGTAGGAAGACTCGACAAAGTACTCTTCAAAAGAATAACCCTCCCCCCTTTGGAGAGGCACTGTTTCTTCCACCCAGCAAGCTGTTTCTAAAACCTTTACACCACTGGATCCCAACTACCCACACTCCTGGATGAAGCTCCAAGAGGTAGACCCAAATAAGAAATGGGTAATGAACCACTGTTGCAACCTAAAACAAGAGCCAAAGTAGAGATATCCGGAACCTCTCCCACCGGTACTAAGACACTTTTGCCCACATTAACTTTCAACCCAGAAACGACTTGAAACCAAATCAGAACACGTCTCAAATATCTCATCTGAGACACATCCGCATCACAAAAAACCAAGGTGTCATCCGTAAACATCAAATGGGAGATCTCTAGCCGACTAGCAACATCCCTACCAACCCTGAAACCTCTCAACAAACCTAAATCAACTTCCTTTGACATCATTCTGCTGAAAGCCTCCTTCACAATAAGGAAAAGAAAGGAGATAACGGGTCCCTTATCATAACCCTCTCGAGCTACCAAAAAATCTTGTTGGTCCTCCATTCACAAGGATTGAGAATCGAGCACTAGAGATACAAAATCAATCAGTAGAAATATAAAAAGGAGAGAATTGTGTAAAGGCTTAAATGAGATGAATCACTCATTCCCAGCTCTAGTATTTATAGATAAAAAGAACACATGCTCATATTACAAGAAAGGAAACTAAATCAAATCTAAATCAAATCACAGCATATTCTAAAGCATATTCTATGACATAGTCTATAGCATAATCAAATCTCTGCTATTATGGTAAGTCATTTCATAAATCGTGGCTATCATATATGCTAACACTCCCTCTTGAAACGCCCAACTTGGATAATGCATTCTCAAACACAATTTTGCTGACACCCTTTGTAAGAATCTACAAGTTGTAGAGTGAAAATCTGACTAGCAATGATTTTCTCTCAAATGAAGTGCCGATCAACAAATCAAAAATGTCTCCTCAGATCATAAACAATTAACAATGTCTACTCAGACCATAAACAACCAATCATGTCTGCTCAGACCATAAACAACCAATAATGTCTCCTCAGACCATTTCCCTTCACATGTTTAAAACATGTAGATGGAAGAATCAAACCATTCCCCTTCATACATATGTTTAAACAATGTAGATGAAAGAATCAATAATGTCTCCTCAGGCCATAAAAAAGAAACAACTATGTCTCCTTAGACCGTTTCTGAATGGGTAGTGCCAAACTCGCAACACCCTCATTGAGGTCGGACTGCCTTGCCTACCTGACGCCTCTCGGATGACCATTAGACCATTCCCGAATGGGTGGTGCCGAACTCACAATGCCCTCATTGCAGTCGGACCACCCTAGCTCTGATATGGCTCTGATACCAAGTAGAAATATAAAAAGGAGGAAAGAATTGTGTAAAGGCTTGAATGAGATGAATCACTCATTCACAGTTCTAGTATTTATAGATAAAAAGAGCACATGCTCATATTACAAGAAAGGAAACTAAATCAAATCTAAATTAAATCATAGCATATTTTAAAATATATTCGATGGCATATTCTATTAGATAATCAAATCTCTACTAATATGGTAAGTCATTCCATAAATCATGGCTATCATATATACTAACATATGCATAATCAAATCTCTGCTATTATGGTAAGTCATTCCATAAATCGTGGCTAGCATATATGCTAACACAATCCATTTCCTCCACCCCTCACCAAACCCCATCCTCTCCAAGAGGTAGATAAGAAAGCTCCAACTAACATGATCATAGGCTTTCTCGATATCCAATTTGCATAGAACACCTGGAACCCCACAACTGAGTTTGGAATCTACACACTTACTAGCAATAAGGACATAATCGAGTGTTTGACGTCCTCCAACAAAAGCATTTTGAGAATCCGAGATGACATTATCCAAGACTCCCCTCAATCTCGATGCTAGGACCTTAGCAATCAATTTATAAATTCTTCCCACGAAGTTGATAGGTCTAAAATCCTTGACGTCAAACACTCCCCCTTCTTTGGAATAAGAGCAATAAACGTTGCATTCAAACTTTTCTCAAAGTGTCCCGTGAGTGAAAAGCAAAGAAAGTGCCCATGACCTCCCCCTTCACCACCTCCCAGCTTTCAAGAAGAAATCTCATCGAGAAACCATCTGAACCTGGGGCTTTATCCTCATTGGAGCTCTTCAAATCCCTTAGCACTTCCTCCTCAGAAAAAGGCCTTTCTAAATTGACACCATCGAAGATAGAGATAGAATCTAAATGCAAACCACCAAGCAAAGGTTGCCACGTCCCTGTCTTCGCGAACAAGTTCTGAAAGTAAGAGGTAACCCCTCTACAAATATCCTCCTCCTTGGAGAGAAACTCCCCATCCATCGTGATTCTTCCGATATGATTACCCTTCCTGTGAGCATTTGCCAACCGATGAAAAAATTTCATGTTTATGTCCCCCTCCTTAAGCCACAAAGCCCTGGATTTCTGTCTCCACGAAATTTCCTCTAATAAAGCATTCTCCGCCTAACACTCCACCATTCTCTGTACGAAACCCTCATTAATGCTACCCTCCCCTTCCTTTTTGTCAATATTAGCAATCTCATCAAAAGCACGATTCTTCCTCCATTCCAAGTTCCCGAAATCATCCATGTTCCATTTTTTGAGGTCCTCTTTTAGCCGTCGTAATTTACCTGCAAGGGAAAAACTCGGGCTACTAGAAACCACATAGTTCTCCCACCAATATTACGATAATCTAATTGTTTTCTTCTTTTCTATGTATAACTTCTATATTATCATGGAGAAATGTATCCATGTGATCGTTGCCATTGTGATTTTTTCATGGGCCTTGTTTGAGATCCATGAATGGTGAAATCTCATATGCTGTCACATGGTGTGACGATCACATGAAATAAATTCTTGTATATTGATGTGGGATGATTGTCACAAGATAGGCAATTTGAAAGATTGTATAGGATTCATGCCCTTCACCTTTGGGTCTGATGCTGAGGTACAATTCTTTCTTCCCCTACTTGTTTTGATCATAATAAAGCAAGTGACAATGACATTACTAGAAAAATATATAAAAGAGAATTGTACAACTAGGTTGGCAAGGACTGACTACAACGTATTCTTTATGCAAGTATTGACTAAAGAAATAGACTTCGATTAAATGGTCCTAAGAAGCACAAACATATGTTTACTTATCAAAAAAAAAAGAAAAAAGAAGCACAAACATATGTTCGGTACCTTATGGATGTGTATATAAATTTAAAACGTTCCATTATTTTCTACACTTGGCCTACTCATCCAAGACACTTCCCGACACAAGCCTTATGTAGCAGAAGCACATCATAGAAGGAGCTATGTTTGGGAATTTTGGAAACAAGATGAATGCACCCCAAAATGTCCAATCCTTTTTCTGTTTGGAAAAATTGGCATTATAGCCGTGCCATTTACAAGTCAATCATGCAACAAACACTTTTTTCATTTTAAAAGAGAATATAATTATGATGACAAAAATATAATAGGGGAGTTAGTATATGTAAAAAAAAAAAATTGATATTTTCATTGCTTCATTTCCATGTTGTGAAATTCTTAGTACATAAGTTAGAATATTAATCAAAACTCTATAGTAGTCTTGTATAATAGCTGTATTTAAATAAAATTTTATATTTATATTTTGCTGTATCAACGTGGTGTTAGTATCCTTATTTTGTAGGATTGGATGTGTTAGTTTTATCTGTATTGTATTGTATGTGTGTCGGTGTCCTTTGTTCGTATATGTGCTATGTAGGGTCTTAAAAAAGGAGGCATCCTGCATGTAGAACTGTCATTTTGGACTTTGCTTGCTGATAAGGTTCTTTTATGAATTCATTTTTGTCACATTTTCGTCTTCTACTTTTAGCATGTATGATAGCCACGATTTATGAAATGACTGACCATATTAGCATTGATTTGATTATGCATTTGTTAGCATATATGATAGCCATGATTTACCATACCTTGTTTTGTTATGGCATGTCTGTGATTAACCAATGTATCGATGCCAATATTTTTCAACTTTTTTCTCCTGCCAAACATTCACATATTATTGGACAGAGTTCCCTGGTTTAATTGTAGTTTCAATATTTTCTTAGATTTGGCAAAAGGTTTGGTTATCAGCAAATTTGCACCTAGCAGAGATGTTTTGGTTGCTGAAGTCAGTGGAAGTTGACTGATTTAACTTCTTGTTTTCTTTGGTCTCTGGAAGTTTGAAATGACAGACAGACATTTGCTTTTAGCAAAATTTGCACTGATTAAGAATTTTTCTGGATTACATTTTTCTCCCATTGTCCTGTGACCAGTTTTATGTATTGACAGAATATAGTTCTAATGCGACAGGGTTGCTTGAATATTAGCAACTTTTTATTTATTTTTAGCAATTACTACTCGCTTTTTTTTTTTTTTTCCTTTGCTTTTTTGCTCCTAGTGCCTACACATTCTTCCACACCCCCCCCCCAATTTTTTAACTGATTATTAGATGCATTGCCAGGCTAAACCTTTTATGATGATGAACTTTATATATTTGTATTCAGGAATGGCTTTCAGAAGCTGGATAAAATTAAAGATTCCAATAGACAAAGTAAACAGCTGGAGGATCTTACAGGGAAGATGAGGGAGTGTAAAAGGTAGGCATGCCCACTTTTCATTTTTCTAGTTCCTCTTTTATGATTCTCAGGTCATAGAAGGTCAAAGTACGTTAATATATGTTATATTCTTTTTCTGTCCGAACAAAAGTTCTGGTCCCATTAGAAGGAAAATGACAGAGAAATTGGAAATTAATGCATTAAACTCTCCACTCCTTAAAATTCCTACTTGAGTCCTATATTTGAAGATCAACTATTTCAGCAGGTGACAATGACTTTTTACAAAACCTGGTTTATATTAAAAAATGGCTACTTGGGCTTTGGCACACAAAAAGGTCTTCGCAATTTAGAATGACCGAGTTTTAGCACCCTTAATTGTATTGAAGCAAATGGCCTTGCAGTTTCTATTGGGTTCCTTGCACGTTACCTCATGTTGGGATTTAAATATTATTAATGAGGAATTGAAGAGTCAGTAGTTGACTAGAAATGTTCCGATAAATATTCTCTTTGATAGCAGTTTTCGGCATTTCTTTTAGGAGATTTTTAGAATCATTCAGTGAAGTCTTACATGTAAATTATTAAAACAGGCTAATCAAGGAGTTTGATCGAGAAATTAAAGATGAAGAGGTCAGAAATCCTCCTGAGGTTAATAAGCAACTCAACGACGAGAAGCAATCCATGGTAAATTTTTTTGAGACCCTTTAGTTTGCTAAGTTATTTAACAAATGAGCGTGGAAATGGACTGTTAACACACGCTTACGTGAGCACCTGCAAATAAATGTGTTGCATATGTTTTTACCAAGAAAGATACCAGAAAGTTTTAGATCTTGTTTCCTTTCGGGTCATTTCAAGTTCGAATCATTTAATGTCTTCCTGTTTCCATTCTTTTTGTACTGAGATTCAATATTTCAGATTTTTCTTTAAGATGTAAAATATGTAATGTGTCAATTATCCCCGATTGCCGCTGATCTTGAAATAAAATGTGGGTTTTTTTGGTTGCTCAAACTGGAATTCAGACCAAATGCATCATTTGATAATTTTTTTTAACGAAAATTCAAGATTATAACTATAAATAATAACATATTGTTGATTAAACATAGATTTGTTAAAAAGAAAACTAAACATTAGGTAACACATTACAAATAGAAGCAACTTCTTAATTGCTGCACTTCACATTATCTGCTTCATCACTTTCATTGCATTCCATGGGCATATCATGTGTCTTTGACTCTGATATTTATTTGAAGTTAACAAGTTTAATGGTCCCATACACTAAAGCAGGTGGTTCAGAGTCTTGGTGACTTTAATAATCCTTCTTAAGTATTATATTTTAAAAGATTTTGCTCATCCAATTTCCAATTTGGTTTCATTACTTTAATTGGGTGAATTTGATTCCTTGAGGTATAATTTGGTCCTTCGGACCTTCGCTATTTAAAAGAAATCTCTTCTGTTTAAGGTTCAGATTAGTGGCTATTGATACCAAAATAAAGTGAATTTTTTTTTTTGGATTGTAATGGTCTATCATTACAGAGGACTTCTCTGTTTTTTTACACACACACACACACACAGAGTACTGCTTGTATGAAATTTTATTCGGTATCTGTTACACAGCTTCTCTTTTGTTGAACTGCTTTACTTGTGCAGATCAAAGAGCTGAACTCATATGTGGCCTTGAGAAAAACGTAAGTTTTTCCATCTATTTTGTTCTTACGGATATCAAGTTCAATGTTTTTTCCTGTCTGGAGTTCGATTGTTTTTTTAGAACAATAATAGATTGAGTCATGAAGTCTAGAGCTCAAGTCAGGATTGCTGTTTCAATTTGGTCCTATTACATTAAGGATGGGGGAATAAAGATGTATGGAATTTGTTGTTCTTGTTTATCAATTAATCATTTGAGTCTTGAACATGTATGAATGATATAGTTTTTCTGCATAAATTTGCTGCTTGCCAATGATGACATTTTTATTTCGAGAATTATTAGTGCAGCGAGATAGAGATTTATTGTAATAAGACCAGTACGTGTTAAGAAATGCAGAGCAAAAGAACGTAAACACCTACCCCTCCACCCACACGTTGACCAATAAGATTATAAGAAAAATAATTATGGAAGCAGTTGGATCGCTGACTTCATATCTATCCACTCCGTGCTCCCTTGATTTTTCTGGGTTTCTATGTGCCTCGGCATATCCAAATAAATTCTTTTTCTTATTTTGTTTGGTGGCGTTGCAGGTATATGAGCAGCCTTGGCAATAAGAGGGTTGAACTCTTTGATACAGGAGCAGGTGTTAGTGACCCTACAGCTGACGAAAATGTTCAAGTTGCATCAGGTGACATCAGATATCTTTTCATGTCTATTAGCCGATTTAATTTGCTGAATATGATCAGTTATTTGGAAGCAGATGCTACTAAAATGTTGCAATGACGACCATATTTTCTGTTAATGATTGTCCTGTGAATCTTATACGTGCATCAGTTTCCTGCATTTTGGCAAATATCAGCCCCATTTTAAATCTCAACATCACTTTTTTACCATTTTTGGAACTATAGCATGTGTTTCAGTTTATTTGCTATTGAAAATTCATTAGCTGTACAATAATATTGAACTCGTATTAGACGGGTAGATTGCAGGATTATAAAGTCAAATGCAATTTCATAAACTTTTTATTTATTTATTTTATTTTCTTTCTAAAATGTTATGCCCAATTTTAGGCTGGCTCAATGTTCTACTTCTATCTAACTTCCATGTTCGATTCAGACATTCTATCATTGTCGTGGATAGTCGACTTTTTTGTTTTTTTTAAAATGATTTGTAGAAAAGAACTTGGCGGACATGTATTTGCTTCTTCAATTACTTCTGAGATTTTTGGTATTCATTTTTACAAATCTTTTACTGTGTTTGTTTCATACATGTCCTTGACTCTTTGTCTTTTTTAAAAGACAATTTTGGATTTTTTAAGGCTATCTTTATGTTTATTTTCCATAATTTCGTTGAACTTTTAAGTTTATTATTTTTTTTTCTCCAATTGTATTTGATATTATTTTAGGTCATGTCCTTTCTTTGTCAAAGTAGTGATTTTTTTTTAGTTAAAAAAAGATTTGCTGAGCCACAGTTCCCATTTTTCATTTTTGCAACTGTAGCAATGTCAAATCAGGAGCTTATAAATGCTGGTACGAAGACGATGGATGAGACTGATCAGGCTATTGAACGCTCCAAACAGGTGAACGCTTAACTTTAAACTGTCTTTGCACATTGCATTGCTTGTGTTCTAAACTTCAGATTGATGCATAGGTTGTTGAACAAACAGTTGAAGTGGGAACCCAAACTGCTGTTACTTTGAAAGGCCAAGTGAGTATGCATTATCAATCATTTTTGTTTTGTTGTTTTTGCTGGGGGAGGTCTAATCTATGTTTATCATTCAATTCTTAAATTTGTGCAGACTGAACAAATGGGTCGTATTGTTAATGAGCTGGATACAATTCAGTTCTCTATTAAGAAGGCATCCCAGCTTGTGAAGGAGATCGGTAGGCAGGTTGGTTTTGGTTATTTACCCAGAACTGCAATTTTATTTAATAGTTTTTTTTTTTTTTTTTTCAAACTAATTCCCATATTTTTTTTTAGGTGGCTACAGATAAATGCATCATGCTTTTTCTTTTTCTTATTGTCTGCGGTGTAGTAGCCATAATTATTGTGAAGGTATTTTCTCTTATACATTCATTGCCATGTTATTTATTCTTTTTATTTTATTTATTTTATTATTATTTATTATTTTTTTAGGGTTTATGTTTTAGATTTCAAAACGTTTTATTTTTGTGGGTAGACCCTTAAAATGTGAAATTACAAAGCATTTTAATTTTATAATTTAAAAGCATATTCTAAAGGGTAAAATACAATGACTTCTCCTGAGGTCTGCCTAATTACACACGGATGAAAGTTTGTGCAAAAGTTGCACCATGTTCCGTCCAAAATTCCATCAGTACCGTCAATATAATTGATTGCGGACGTGGTGACCAAAATGCCCATCAACTAAGATGAAAAGACGCTATTATCCCTAAAATGTTATGAAATTACGAGAGTCTTTCCTTTATAGGCAAATAAACACTTAGCTGGGATTTTATTAAATTTGTAGATTAACATTTCACATAAGTAACCCCATTTCTCTCCCTCAACCCTCTCTCAAACCCAAAACCGCACCCATTTCCATCACCACCAGATCAACTCCATATTTTCTTTCTTCTGTCGTTCTTGATGGTGTTGCTTTCTTCCTTCATGTCAGTTAGGTAGCTCTTTCGATAAGCACTTCTCTCTCCCTCTCTCTGTATGTATATGATACAATATACACAGCCTTTTCACTCTGTGATGCTTTAGACTCTTTCCTATATATGGCAGGCAAAGGGTTGGTTGGAATTGATTAAAGCTCATGACTGCGCGATTAATGGGTTGGTTGCAAGCAAGGGATTTTGTATTTGGCTTATGTGGATTGCAAGATCAAAGCATTGTTTGAAGGGGATCTTCAACATAAGGATGTCTCATTGCATTCACATCTAGGGATGGAAAGTTGTTTTATGGGGGTGCTTGGATGTGTATTTGATGGGGTGGTTGGGAAATGTGGAATTTTGTTGTTGGAAGATGGTTTGTGAGGTGAAAGCAATGGAATGACTGTTTTGTGGATGTGTCTAATGGGAAATTTGATTGTTGGAAGATGAATTTGTTAGAGAGAGAGACAGGGAGATGCAGATAACAAAATTTTGTTCTGCTGGGTCTGACACCATATTTTTTATGCGATGAAGTTGTTTTGCTATATGCTAATGGCCTTGCCTTCGTCAATTAAGAGAACGAACGATAATTACTGGATTACAAAGTATCCATTGCTTCGAATTCAAATTTACAACTTTTGGCAGACATTGATGAAGTTTGAATGCGAAGAAAAATCTGCTCTGTATTTAAAATAAAATAGAAAAAAAGTATCAGTTTCAATGAGGTTTGCTGGATTTGAATTGGAGAGAGATTATAGGATTTTGGACTTTTGGTAGAGAGGGAAAAGCGGGGGGAGAGAGAGAGAGAGAGAGAGCTTGACGACAGAGAAAGTGATGAGACAGAAATTGAAGAAGAAAAGAGATGAGAGTGAGAGAGTTGATGACGGTGCTTGTGGTGGTATGCCGCCGGTGGAGTTGAGCAAATTGGAGAGAGCGAGCGAGGAAGGGGAATTTTTTTAATACATGGGCAAACTGGTAATTTCACATATCCATATGTTTTCCCATTTTTTAACAATAAAATAATCAGGGTAAATGGGTAAAATTACCCTAAAAAGTGACGTCCATAAGACTCAATCGGATACAAGGGAGGTCATTGCAAATTATTTCCCAAGTTTCATTCGTGTGTAATTAGGGCAAACCTTGGGAGGTCATTGTATTTAACCTTGGGAGGTCCTTGTATTTTTCCCTATTCTAAATTATGCGAGGGAAATATTCAACTGTTTGAGAATAATAATATTGATTAGCATTTACGAATTTATGAGATTTGGTTCGACAGTGCATTTATTAAGTGCATGGTGCTTGTGGATACAAGTGTTAATTGCCTTTTTGACATGGTCAAGTATGCGAATTATTACATGTGCCATATATACCCCGAGACAGTAACTATAACGAAGAGATGTACCATGTTCTTGGTTTGCACCTTCACACGTATATTTCATGTATACTTTATTAGTATCGCTTCAATGCCTGCAGTTGATCTGCTCAATCTCTATTCTAACCATGACTCTTTTTAGATTGTGAATCCCAACAATAAAAGCATCAGGGACATACCTGGATTGGCTCCTCCGGCTCCCGCCGCACGGAGACTGTTGTATCTCAGGCCTCGGGAACATTTTGAGTAAATTCATCTCCAGTGAGGGAGTAGCTATTCTGGTCCATTATTTTGATTGGCGTTGTGGGAAGAAACAAGAAGGAAGATTGGAGCCGGAGTAATGATATTTGCGGCAATCTGTTGGTTTTTATTTTAATATATTCTTGGCTGACATGTGCATATGATGTTTATGGTTTTCTTTGTATAAATCGTTTGTGAGGTTTGGTTTTTTACACTGATTACCTTTGCATTGTTTTGAATGCTATGGTCTTTCTGTAAACCTTCCAAGACTGTTGTAGTGTTAGAAGAAATAATCTGTTGATAAACTCTGCAATGAAATCCCATATACTTGTCCTCGTTAAATCACAATGAAGTATGTGTGTGTGTGTGTGAAATTACTTCGTAAATTCACAGCAAAATTATTAACCATAACAAAAAAACTAGTGACAACAAAATCAAGGGTTGCAAATTTTGTGTTCTGTTTTTTCTTTATTATTATTATTGTTATTATTTTATTACATTTCCGGGGTGTGATAGATATTGAATATCAATTTTTTTATATTTTTTTATGTCATTTGATATTTGATTATTTGTGAACGTCTAAATTAATGACAAAGCTCTCTAGGTCATTGGTTCAAATCAGGATAATCAAGAACAAATGGACAATCATGCCATATTAATTCTTTTATAAATCCATGAAGCATCCAGATTCCAATGAAGACATTAACAGTATGAATGAGAAACTCACTAGGCAAGCCTCACGTCAAACTTTCTTTTCTTACTGAAAAAACTGATTCAACTTTCTCATTTACACCAACAAATACATACATACATGTATATATATATAAATAATATCCGTAAGCTCTAATGACATCTGGTTTCATGTTGGCCCTCAACATGCAGGTTAGGCAACATAACCAACCAAAATATTATATAAAATTCAAAATTTGTTACAGACAAACATATCACGATTTCTCAAACATAGGGTGATAATTGATACACTACTTATTCAAACAAGGTCGATGTAAAACATGCAAAGTAAAAATAAAAAATAAAAACAAAACATTCTCAACAATCACGATTACTTAGTTAACAAAGATTGAACATCCCGCGACGATGATGTGCTACCATCCAGTCTATCCAAATGCGACCATGTCGAAGTTGAAGCAACATCCCAAGGTGCTGTGAGTTCATTTACTGCATATTCATCCACTTCATAATTTTGTTGAATAGCATATACTCCATGTGACGTTCTAATCCCTTCCAATTCAAATGCAACTTCTTTCATTGTAGGCCTTTTTCTCCAACTCAGATTCAAGCATCTTTTTGCAAGATTAGCGACCCGCGTGATCTCTTCTTTCCCACCCTCTTTAAAAACTCGAGCGTCAAGAATGTCAAATAAACGGTTCTCCTGCATTGTTAATATGAAATATATTGCCAAACTCCGTTCTTCCGACCTGGTTGATGAGATTGGTTTTTGTCCAGTTAAAAGCTCAACAAGAACTACTCCAAAGCTATAAACATCACTTTTTTCTGTGAACTGGCTTGATTGGAAATACTCCGGGGTCCAAGTATCCAAAGGTCCCCTGTACTAGTGTGGTCATATGAGTTTGATCAATGGGAATTGATTTTGAAGTTCCAAAATCTGACACTTTTGCTCTGAATTTCTCGTCCAACAAGATATTTGTGGATTTGATATCCCGATGATAAATGGGCATGAAAACTGCTGAATGCAGATAGGCAAGAGCCCCTGAAACTTCTATAGCAATCCGAACACGTATATCCCAGGTAAGTGGAAACTCTTCATTTTGCTCATGGATATATTGGTAAAGGGTTCCATTGGGGATGTACTCGTAAACGAGCAAAGGAACTTCTGCCTCCAAACAACACCCATGCAGCTTAACCACATTTCTATGGTTAATTTGTGATAAAATAACAACCTCATTGATAAATTGTTCAAGTTTACCTTCATCCAATATCTTAGACTTTTTAATTGCTACAATTTAATGACTTATCACGTGCGGATGGATTTCTTACTCACCATTAACAAGAAATATATATAGATTTCTAGCAAGTGAAAAGGACAAAAAGGGGTGAAATAGAAGGACTTTCTTCTGCAGATCACCCATCCTTAGTACTACTTTTGTAGGTTTAATTGAAAAAATCTAATGGATGGGATGCATTAGTAGTGATATGATTGCATACCTTGACATCCGTCTGGCAGATACGGGGTTCCTTCATCGTTACAATAGCATTGGTAATTATTAATACTTATTTGCCCGCATATATTTGGACTGCAAACAGTGCCGCCTCCCGTTTCGCTCCTCAACCAAGGAGGGAGGAGGGTACTTCTGCAGTCTCCGACGAAGCCCCAGGTCAGCACAGCAGGAACACGTTGTATTTATAGGGATCTGCAGACAATCTTGTGTCCATTTGGAAACTCATTAGGGTTAACTCTGGACAGAGATGCATTGACGAAGCTGAACGATGCTGGGATTCTGATCTGGCAGCAATTGATGCCATTGCAACCTCCCCCATCATCAGTTGAATTGTTGCTGTCGGCTTCGTTGCAGATTGGTGTGCACCCGCCTATCATTTTTCGGTCTTGGCTCCATATTCTGGCCAGAGAGTTGTTACAACCAGTGGCGGTGAATCGATTAGCTTCCTCATCGAACCAAAAGTGGCTGGACAAATTCAGAAGTTGATGGACATAAGTCCCGTTCCGACAATCAGCAGCGAGCACCGGAAGAAGGAAATCTATGGTGCCCTGTGCTAGTAAAATATTTAGCACCTCAAGGTGGTTGTTGGTCGTGAAGAAAGGTTTGGGTGGATTGAAAGAGTTGTCGCAAGATATTTCAAAGGTTTGATTGAAAGCGCAATCAGCTCCAATCGCAAATGGGAAACGAATATTGTTAAGGTTTCCGCACGTGTCATTACAACCAGGCTTTGCTAGAAATGCTGATGAAGATGGTGATGCTTCTCCTCCGGTTAGCCACACGAATACTAATAGCACCACCAACAACTGAATCACCATCTTTTAATTGCCCTCCATCTCTACGTTTTGTGAAATTTTCAGAGGTACGTGTTATATAATAATAATATATGCATTGGTGTTTTTCAAGAATATATATATATATATATGGATCTTCTTCTAATCTATTACAAAAATAAAATAAAAGTCCTACAAGAAAAGAGGTCTTTCATTTATTAATCAAACAACACAATTCATCATATTAGACTCAACAATATATACACGTAAAACAGAACTCCAGCGCACCAATGTTGACCGTACTGTTTTTATCTATTGGATGATCTGACATATCAATGATTTGATTTGACATATAAATGAAAATTATTATAGTAATTAGTTGAAAATAATTTTAAAAAATAAGTGAGTTCAATTTAAAAAAATGTGTATTTCTATTAGTTGTGCATGTCAATAATTTGGTATGTCTACTGGTTAAATATCCTGATGAGAGGAGTCACAATTAGACCTCTACTTTTAATTCATATGTAAATTCATTAAATATTCAAGTTTGTTTGGATTAGAAAATATTTTATTTTTATTTTTTGGTGTTTCTTAAATTAAATATTTATTAAGAAAAATATTTTATTAAAATTTAATAAAAATAATTAAGAATTTTTTTTACAGGAACTATATCAAACACAAAAAAATAAAAAAAATAATTTATCAATTTTTTATTTTTTTTATATTTTTTTAAAAAATATTTTATGTTAGAACAAACAATGCTTGCATCAAAATTTATCATACAGACAAATGTTGAGTGATCTGAAAACTAAACGATAAAAAGTCAAATTGTCACTATCACATTTGAAAAAAATTATCTACTTCTCAGTTATTATTTATTATTATTTTTTGCTTGCTGTCCATACAAGAGAAAAGTAAATCAAAGAGGTGGCCTGCTAGACCATTCCAAGTCGCCATCGCTGATTGATTGACTAAGCTTGACCATTGAATTTCTAGTTCTCAGACTCCATATATCTATTTAAATATTACAAAAATAATTCACAAATTTACTTAAATGTTTATTAAGTAAAATATTTTATTAACATATAACAAAAATAATTAACAAATTTTTTTTTTCAAACTTTACCAAACGCAGAAAAATAAAAGAGACATTTTATCCAAAAGATATTTTACAGAATTTTGCATCCGAACTAATTTTAATTCAAAATTTTTCGTATGGATGAATGTTGAGTGATCTGGAAACTAAACAATAAAATATCAAATTGTCATTATCACATTTGGAAAAAATTATCTACTTCTTATTATTTTTTGCTTCGTGTCCATACAAGAGAAAGGTAAACCAAAGAGGTGGACGGCTACACCCAAGTCGCCGTCACTGACTGATTGACTTAATTCATGCACACGGAGTACGGACATGATATCCTTCACGGCACCTACCGAATTTTTGTGTTTTTTTTGACAAAACAAACAGAACACAGAGGCACTAGAGAACAAAAACCGAATCTGACACTTCCTCAAACATCAAGAATTCAACTTGAAATAATAGTGAATGTGTGTAATTTTCTCACCAACGTAGCAAGGAAAAATAAATAAATAAATAAATTACACACTTTATAGTTTTCATTGATGGAAACCAGAGAGGACCAACCAGCCAGAGATCCGAAGCAAAAATAGTAATAAAAATAATATAAAAAAAAGACGAGAAAAGAAAACCGGTTTAATTGCAGTTTAAAATTTCAATTTAACCTGCCAATAACCAACATTATTCAACATTATTTGTAGAATTATTTGGTGGATGAAAAGACTAAAGCAAGAAGGAGATGGATAGACAATCAAAACGCTACAAAGTATCAAAGTTTGGGAGACATGCTTAGGGCTATCTGACCGGTATTGCCGCACTACCGTCAATTTTGGAGAGTGTACATTAAGGTGAAGGTCAAGAGTTTTACATTTATAAAAGCCATTACTACCTTCCACTATAAATATAACTAGGGCGAGTAAGGATCGTCACAAGAGATTGTGAGGGTCGAACAAGGTTGTGGATTCGCTATTAGCGCTAGTAGGTCGAGTGATCAAACAATTGGTTGGTTGGTTGATTGATTAGACTAGAGAGTAACTAAATTAAACTAAGTAATAACAAAAGAATGCAACTAAGAGTAAGTAAGAGAGAGAAGAGTCTTGGGGTTTAGAGATCACCACAAAGTAATGCATTTCTATACCATTGACAAGTGATTAATGAGGGCAAATGGTGTGTTGCAATATTGGTGTGTGTGTGTGTGTGTTTGGTTGATTCAACAAGTAAAGATGACTAGTTAAGCATATATTGTCTAAACATCATGTGAAAGACACAATATATCTAAGCAATGAAGTATAT